TATATATATATATATAGGAAAAGTTGTAAATTGAATTTCAATATCTGAGAGTAAATCCAGATTTTTCATCTCATACGTCTTTTATTAGAGATCATTCGAAAAATTATTAAAAATTTCATCCTTAAAAAGTCGAAAATATAGATGCTGTTTTTTTATTCTCTAAATTTTTTAGAGTGGAGATCTCACTCTAAAGAGTGAAATCTCTTAGAGGTCCAACATCTTTTTCAAGAGTGGCAAAATTTTTATTCTTTAGAGTGAGAATCCATTCCAAAGAATTTAAAGTGTTTAAAGTGTATTCTATAATTCTGAACGTGTGTGGAATTTATGTGCAATACATGTGTATGTATGATCGCTACGTGTGCTCTGAGACGGATGAGAGGAAAGCAGAACGGAGAAAAAAGGGAGAGGCTAATCAGCAGCGTTACCTAATCGCAAATTGGTCATGCAAACTATAGCGAAACCAACGAGGACGGTCCATCGTCCTCTCGTGCTTTGTACGCGCATATCGATATCGATTGTCGAGGATGACAAATGCGGATAACAAACGCGTTCACCGACGAAAAGGAAAGACCGATCACCACCTCGTGACCTCTCTCACGATCGTGTCGCGAATCTCCGGATCACCAGAGGATGATTTCGAAGCATCCGGATGTGCGATACCGCTGCTTTTTTTCAGAGAACCCGGCAGATATACGCGAGGGTAAGTTGGCGAAGTTGACGATAGTTGGATCCCGGCCGAAGGATCGGTATCGGAGCTTTTTATGAAGGATCGATCGCGTATCGAGCTCGTGCTGCCTACGCAGCTTGCAATCTGCGGGAAGACTGGTCGTCTGCAGTAGCCGGCTGGGAGACGTCCGGCTGACAGCGGCGGATCTCTATTAATCTCGTTTGGACCGTCCATCACGGTCTCTTGCCGACCCGGTCACCGTCGACGATCGCTCGATTTTACGCGGCGATCGGCCACCCCGGATATTTTTTCGTTTCTTGTATCTCTACAAATGAGCGTAAGGTGAAACGAAGACGTACGCGATGAATCTCGTGAAGGAATAACTCTGATTCGTAGTTAATGATTGTCGGGATCTTTCGTTTTTTTCTTTACTGCTCTATATATTTAGCGCAGCCATGTTTTACCGGTTCAGTAGAGCGTACACACATATAATTTAATTTCTACAATAATAAGTCATTATCTAAGTTTTAAGTGTTAAGTCGTAAAAAATTGACCAATCATAATCGATTATTCTTCTCAGATTCGACTATCATTTTTCTTATTAAATATTTATTTACTATAAGTAAATATTTACTTAGTACTGTTTAAAGAAATATTCCGGACAACAAAAAGTGTCTAAGATGAGGTCATAAGACGTTTTTTTTTGCGTCTAATAGACGATTTGAAGATCATATCATAATTTTAAACTTTTTGTTGTTTGGGATGTATTAAGATTTAATAAATTGTTTCTCCAACATGCTGAACGCAGCCATTATCTTCTATTATTGACTTCTTGAAACGCAATCCGAAATCATCAGAACGCACGATTATTCCTCGAATTCGCGGTATGTTCAGTTCAGTCATTCAGATTTAACAGCATAAGAGGATCTTTCTTGATTAGATATCTGTCCTGTTCTGATATCTAATCAATATCATTTCACGTAATATCATTTCATAAAAGATAATATATCTCGTTTTCCTGGTAGAACCTTTCGTGACTATCTCTCGTCTCTTTCCGTTCTCTTAATGATATTTTTGTTGCTGGAATTCAGGATGAAGAAGAAGCAGGATATAGCAGAAAAAGGATCCAAAAAGGACTATTTGTTCCTTCTGCTTTTTACCGCGGCTCAGGGGAAGGCAGAATCATTCGTCCGGTTGCAGCATCATCGCATCTGATTACACGGGGAGATCTCTTGCCCTCCTTCCCTGCTCTCCGCGCTCGTTAACATCCGCGTTACCGTCAGGATCGTTGAGAGGTTCACGCGAGAGAGGTCATTATCATTATCCATAAATTACCGCGCGCGAGAATCTCAATTTCGTTCATCGCAACCCGCCGGAGAGAGCTTAGGGGAGAGAACATTATTCGACGGAGTCGTCCAGTCCAATGGTGTATGTTACAGAATGTTGATACAAAGCGGAGAAAAGGAAGAGAGAATGAAAGACGAATTTATCGTGAATTTGCTAAGGAAAATGTACCAGAAATATAGGCAGTTAAAAAAATAAATAGATAAAAAGTACATTCTTTGTCAGGTTTTTTGAAAACGGAGCAATAATACGCCAGACGGTCTTTAATAGTATCTCGGTGGTAATGCTAATGCCGGCAATACTGTAACTTTCGAGCCTTATAACTCGAAAAGTATAAAAAATAAATGAAATAAATCAATGAAAAATAACTTTATTATAGTGTTTTGAAAAGCTCTCGACATCAGCTATTAGATACTTGAATAAAAAGTAGGGTGTTCCATTTAAAAAAATAAAGTCCACCTTGAAATATCCCCAGTGCGTCCATTAAATAATTATTTCCATCAAATAATCATTTCCACTGTGCGATATCCCTCTTTGTACTGAACATGTTGATATAAACCGTAATTTTTCCGTATGTCTTCATATTTCGCTAATAAATAAACCGGTCACTTTACACGAATCACTCTGTATATACAATATAAAAAAAATGCAGCACTAAAAAAATTGATGAAAAATTCTAAAAAAATTCTTAGAATTCTACGAGGAGAAAATAAACAATTTCTATCACTCACATTTTTTCTGTTAAGTTGATAGAATTTGAGAAAAAAATTATTGAAGACCAGTATTCGGCAATTTTTAATAATTAATATCTTATCAATTAGTGCGAAAATTGCAAAATGGTACAAGAATTTTCGACTCATTCTAGTCCGATCTATCTACACAAAAGCGCTTGGCAAACAATTTCGGGACACCCAGTAAATATATGTATGAAAAACTTTATTATATAAGGCGCCACGGACGCGTCTTCGTTATAATGAAGCTTTCACTGTCAACAGATCAAAACAAAATAAAATTTTTGTTATAGTTTAAGATTGGCCGAGTATTTTAGTTTTTTATTCATACTGATTCGATGACTGGAAAGATTGGAAAAAAAAATCGTAAAAGTAGTTATATTTAAGTTTAGACATTTTTATTTCAATAATTATTGATTTAAACAAAAAAGTCAGAAACAAGAAATGTCCACTTCGATAGTAAACTTACAACATTTTTTCAGAATTTTTATCCAAAGTATAGATTTTTTAACCAAAACAATTGTTTGACGTTTTGTCTTCTGAACGAATTGTCAACTTTACACGACGATGCTTCAGTGTCTGACAGTGTTCTGTCTCACAATTGTACGTATCTTTTAGCGCGCAAAATTGTATCTTTTGAAAAACTCTCATTATGCATACAATATCTCATACAAAGTAACATCTTTATTCTTCACTTCCTTCATCATTATTGTTTGTCATTATTGTTAAGAGTAGTCATAATTGTATTTGATCTGTGTAACGTGATTATAATTTATGAAAAATAACACTACTAAACCCAACATACGTCGAATAAAGACAAAGATTACGACATAAAGTTATATTCCAACGGGAGAGGAAATAGATTGTGAAATCTATTACAATTATTTTATTTCGGAAAATCGTCACTCTTTTATTAAAAGATATTAGTCAGAACTCGACAGTGATTCTCTTTCAATGCGTTCGCATTCGTTACATAGCGTGTTCAAAGTGCGTCGCGAACAGTTCGCTCGCGTCGAAAATACATGTGAACTTTAGTATATGAAAACATTCGAGATGATTCGCAATTCGACGGTACCGCAATACAATTATTAATGCGTTTTACATATCTTTTATGCGTTCCTGAGCGTACGTAAAGAAAAGAGCCGATCCGGAAGGAAACTGCTTCTGCAGTTGCATCAAAACACCAAGTCACGTCATCGCCTTCCTTATAGCCATTCCTTTATAGCATTCCTTTATGTTTGCAGATGCATTCTGCTCATGCCGATATCATTCTGCTCAGATATTCGGTTCCTCTGCCAACGGGAAAGATCGTCTCAGCCCACGACTCGCTTCAAGCCTTCGGGTCGTCGTTACTCTTTATTTGTGGCCCTCTCTACTGCTCGAGTTCATCTCTTCTGTCTGTTCAGTATCCGCTGATTCCGCTTGCATTCGGCGTTCCTCTCCACGCAATGCTTAGCGCTTATCCATCATTATTGTCTTTCCTACTTTGTCATTAGCTATTTTTATGAATTATATTCGCTTGTATCGCTAACTCTACATCTGTTTTGTTGCAGTTTGTTTGAGTTGCAGTTTGTTTTTCACTTGACGTGCAGGTGTCACTTATGTAATCCTAAAAATAAATAATTTTTTACATATAAAATGTGTTTTAGTATATTGCAATTATCTACCATAATATGGTTATAAGTATATAACTGAAATAGGAAGACAAATGAGAATTTACTTAAATCGATTAAATATTTTCTTGTGAATCACCTTATGTTGCTCATGAAAATGAGTACGAAGTAGTCTTCTAGATCTGAAGTCCTCGCCACACACCAAACATTCAAACCGCTTTTTATTGCTGTATACTAATCTGCGAACTTCATTGTGAGTAGAACGAAGGAATTTGTCGTGGTTGGAACGAAGGACTTTGCTGCAAACCTAAAATAAAATATTATAGGAATGTGAAAATAAAAACAATCATATATAAAATGTGTTTTGATATATTGCAATTATCTGTCATAATATGGTTATAAATACAATATATAATAGAAATAGGAAGACAAATGAGAATTTGCTTAAATCGATTAAATATTTTCTTGTGAATAACCTTATTTTGCTCATGTATACGAAGTGAGCGTCTATATTTGAAGTAGTCGCCACATGCTAAACATTTAAATAGCTTTTTATCGCTGTGTATCAAACTGTGCATGTCTTTGTCTATCTTTATAAGAAAGCCTTCGCCGCAAACCTGAAATAAAGCATATTTATTATTACAGAAATTTAAAAATAAAAACAATCATATGAGAAATAATTAGAAAAAAATGATAATTTTATAGCACATACCTCGCAAACATATTCTTCGTCTATATCATGTATTTCTAAGTGCCGTTCTAAGTGGCTACGAGAAGCAAATGTACATAAACATTGGTCACATTTATGTGTTTCGATATGAATCGTGTTTATATGATAACTCAAACAGTCCTGAGTTCTGAAAACACACACGATACACTTACTAATTTTTATCAATACAATACTTCGCCTCTATGTGCACTATTATTAGAGTTCCTCTTTGACTATGAAATGACCATAGCAACATTTATCGTTTGTTATCAATTAATTTAAGTATAAATATCAAATAATTTCTCTAATTTTTATTCTTCAAAGTACTCACTTAAATGATGCTTCGCACGACTTGCATTTATAAGGTTTTTCCCCTGCATGAATCGGCTCATGACGAAGCAATTCCGCTTCATATCGAAACGTTTTATCACATTTTCCGCATTTATAGGGTTTAACTTCTTCATGTACTTCTTTATTATGTTTTGTGAAATCTTTCGTGAAGGTAAATTGCTCATCTTTAATATTAATGAAGATTATTGTTGTGAAATGAATATGAAAATGGTAAAACTGATAACTGTTGAAATAATATAAAGTTATCAAAAATACTAAAAATATTAACCACAAAAAAAAAATCATCACTTAAATCTTACCGCAATGATAGCATACATATCCTTTTGGGTCATTGTGCGTTCGTTCATGTAGATTCAAATTTTGCGAATTTTGAGATTTAGAATTCATTTCTTTTAGATTCAAATCCCAATCTTTTCAGAGATATTCTCAATTAATTTTATAGTAATGTTCTTTGAATTCTTTTTGTAATTCTCACTGTTTAAATTTTTTCGAATGTTTACTATCAAGTTTATCCACCTAAAGATGTAGAAAAATAGAATTTTTTATTTTATAAATTTTTTTTATCAAAGAAATCATATCACGAAAGATCGCCGTTAACGTAACTATTTCACTCATTAAACGCCTTAAACAATTTTTGCAAAACGACAGAAGAATATCCGAACCGTAGAAAGCTGCTAGAGAAAAACATAAAGAAAGGTCTCGTTAATTTCGCTTTTCGTTAATTTCTTGACATAGACCTCTCTTCATGTTGTTCTCGATATAACACTTATAGCTCAGGCATCGATATACTGTTAACAATGTCTAAAACAATGCCGATGTAACATTCATAACTCAGATGTAAAATTATTAAAGATGCGCGTGTATTATTTTTGATGAATTGATACCCTACACAATATGCTTTCACAATAATAGCACTATATAAAAACTTTATCGAAATCTGCCATTATATTTTAATATCTTTTACTGCTAAATTCACATATTTTATCGTTAGTGATACTATATGTATATGTAATTTGGAACATTTATTTTATATATGAACATTTCTTCATTTCTTTCTGATTTACATAAACAAAATATTCATTTAAAAATATTATATATATGAAAAACAGTGAAAATAGTTAACGTAATTCAAATTGAATATGAATATAGGAATATAATGTAAATAAGAAACAGTTATCAAAGGTTGAAAGCAACATTTTGTATAAATTACTAATGAGTATGAAAAAAGAAACATTAAAAATAAATTATATAATTGTTTGTCATTTTAATATCTGATAAATAGAAATTACAGAATTTTCTTTATTCAGTAAAAAAGAGACAATAATCAAAACTTATTTTACGTTCGACGATGAGAACAGATTTAATTCCAGCAATAAAATTATAATAAAGTAGTTGTTATGAAAAGTAAAAACGAAGAAATAGAATAATGTATCAAAGACAGACTAAATAATAAAAAAAAAAGATATTTGTAAAATTAGAATGACCTGAAGTTAAATTATAAAACTAAAATTTTGATGTTTTATATATATAATATTTTGTATGCAATGCTTACGGTTCAGACGTAGTAACAAAGACAATTACGGTTGAATTTCAAATTTACTGACAACTAACCACGTCAAAATCTTTAGGACGACTGAAGTAAGATGTACTTGTGTGCGTGCGTGCGTGCGTGCATGTGTGTGTGTGTGTGTGAGTGTGGGTGGATGGGTGTGTGTGTGTGTGTGTGTG